GACCTACAGTCAAATACACATTTTCACCACCATCTACTAATACTACCATAACTAAGACACCTCTGATTAACATACCATGACCTTTATGCAATGATTCAAAGAAGTCATGACGAGTGAAATGAGATTCTTCCTGGCTGTTAACACTGGCAGGACCTGAAGAAGAATGTGGCCCATGTGGTATCTCACTTGCAGGTTCCTTCTTGCTTGTGAATTGACTACTGTTTAAGGAATACATTTTAATATCTTTAATCTCAACTTGCAGCCTGTCACTTGTAGATTCATCTTCTCCTGGCACGAAATTCTGGATAGATATTTGTCCTAGGTGACCTACAAGCAGCTCAGAGCTCCCAGGCTTTCGAGGTATGGAGACAATTGGGGATTCAATGTTCACGTTTAATATAAGCTTAATGGTCTCAGTTTTGAGAGGCTGTGACCCAAATCCATCACCTTCGGTGTCTTCTACATTGGTAACATCTCTGGCTCGTGGTGTGGTGTCAAACAAGGAAACCATCTCACTGTACTCAGCAGTTTTGGTTGCCAGGACTGTGGTGACTTTCGAGGCTGCACTTTTGAGCATACTGCGGAAATTCTCTTCCAGCTCATCCATGGACAAAGTGAGCTCCTTGAGGAACTTGGCTGAGTGGTTGTAGTGCAACGAGGCCATTTTGAGGTTAAGAGAACATTCCTCTTTTGACTTTTCTGTGAAAGTGAAACTTAAAGCATCTGGAAGGCTGTTTCCATCATCAAGCCTGAAGAATAAGGATTCCAAGTAATCGACATCACCGATGAGGTTTTCATACCTCACTGTATTCCCTATGCTCACCACATACTGGTTCTTCACATTGTCCTGGGTCAGATCCATCAGGTGAAGGCATCCAAGAGAGCCATTTACATCCAGTTTACTGCACATGGAGACATTGACTTTGGTGCCACCAATACTGGCTGTGGCAATTTTCCTACCGTATTTTTCTCCATTTGTCATTCCAACTGTCCTGAGGAGGAGAATATTCAACCAGTGAATATCAACTGCTACCTCTGTGTTCTGGGCATAAGTAGACTGGAATGTTTCCTGTTCCCTCCAATCTCTCTCCAAGTCAGTTATTAATGGCTGAGGACTAGAATCTTCTTTCTCCTTTGGGAAAGATTTCTGGAGAAACCCAATCAGTTCAACAATAGTCTCTGGATTAAGGATGATATCCAGGTTGTTCACCTGTACAGAGATCACCTGCAGGCTGCTATCCAAATTCATGGATGGGCATTCTGCACTCACAAACTGATACTCTAATTTTATCAGGGACTCTTGATCTTTTCCATTGTTTCCAGGGGCAGCACTGGAGGCTGCAGTGCATCTCTCTGCCAAACCAGCTACGTCAATGGGTCGTGCCTCGTGTGGTCCAGACACTGGGGACTGAGCCCTGCTGTCTCGAAGGCTTCCTGTTGGCACATCAAAGCTCAGATTCTTATGAGAAGCCATCAAAAGATCAAAATCTGTCCCATATGTTTGCATAGTGTCAACCAGTAAGAGGCCATGGACAGTCAGGGACACTTCTGCATCATAAGGCCTTTTCACAAAGTGGGCATTGGTGCCAAAGACCTTGAGCACAGAGATGTAGCGACCGTTGCTCTCCACACCCAATTGCATACAGTTCACTTTGAACTCAGCCAAAAGCAGCTGAGATTCAACAAGAACTTCCCTGGTGTGTTGCTCAAGCATGACAACACTCTGTGTCAGGTTCATTACTGAATCATGTAAACTGCCAAGCTGGTCTACCTCTGCAAAAATCTTATCCTTCCCTAAATGTAAACCATCTGAAGATTTGGTTTCAGATGTACTCAGCTGTGACAAACAGTTCTTCAGAGCCAGTATTTTGTCCTCATTGATGTGGATTTTCAGGTCTGGCAGGTTGCCAGACAGGACAGCTCCTGGGTACTTTGGGTCAGAGGTGTAGATCAGCCTACGCTCCAGCTGCAGGTGAACATTGAACTTCTCCACCACGTGAGTTGGACCCACATCAATGTCCTGAACGTGCTTCCAGTTGTCTTTCACTCGGCCCACCATGATCTGCAGGTCCATAAACGAAAGTGTGTATCTCTCATACATTTTTTTACTCATCAAGTGTGCCTGTAGCTGCTCTTCACTTATTTCCACTCCGGGAAATTCAGACATTTTGATGCCACTATTGGTGTCAGACTCTGGTGGAGGAGTATTGGGAGGAGTTGCCAGAGGTGTTTTATATTCCTCATCACTCAATTCGTTGACTTCTGAAGACAAATTATCTGTATTCCTTTTGGATTCCTCTGTGGGTTAAAAAAATACTAGTAAGCAAACAAACACACAAAAGTGTTCTCCTCCCTTCTTGGATGTTTCACATCATTTTCTGATCATCCTATTTGAGGTTGCATTTCTTTAAACACAAAGCTTAGCTGGTCCTGTCCCTTCCTCCTTCCACTGTCACTTTTCCTCAACAGGAAACCTACTACACTTCTCCATGCACACAGATGTCAGTCACAATGTAGTACAGAAGCTATTAAAACACACTGTTGTCTCATTTTTAACCCACTCACTATTATCACAAGACTTTTAACCAAATTGTTAAGAAAAAAAACCCCTTATTCTGCCTACACAATTCTTCCAATCCTCAAAACCAGATGAAAGGTAAGAGCTACTTAACTACAATATATTTATTATCAGAAGTTTTTTCCTAATTGCCTTTATTGCCTAATCTTAACCTTCATTTCATTACCATAAGAAAAGGATTTCTTCTACTTTACAAAGCAGGAATTGCCCCCAAAATTTCCCTGTACTTCACTGCTTTACTACTTTTTACTATTTACTACTACTTTCCCTGTACTTCTTTTGTACAGGGAAATACTTCCCTTTATTTTTCTCAAAGAAGGTGGAAAGAAAAGGAAAACTGTGATAATTCTAGATCATACCTTGAGAATTGGTAAGCAATATTCTTCCCAGATCTACAACAACTAACACTGGATCCTTAAATTTGAAATCATCAGGGAAGATCACCTGAGGGGCAGAAATATCAAGGCACACAGTCCAGCTCTTGCTGTTTTCCTGAAGGTTAAGGAGAAAGACATAACAGCCCATAAGAAAACATACTAAAAAATGCCATGTTAGATCAATCTAATCAATCACTTCTTCACCTGAAGAAGTGACATTCACAAACTCCATTACACTCCAGTTTAGGAGCATGTTAACCCACAGACTCCCATTACAGTCAACAAAGAGACATTTTCAGTAGGTGAAACATTCCCTGCACCACAAACATGGATTGCTTGACTGCAATGCCACCTGCAAAACTCCTCACTTACTGACAAAAGAACACAAAAGCTAACAACAAACCCCACTCTTCAGAGCTTCAAGTCCCAGAACACATGGCTAAAAGCCTAAATAAATATTTGGGGGGGGACACAAAAACTCACAATGAAATCTCCAACTAGTAACCGATCAATGGTTTGCCTGATTTCAGCTTTTGTCTGCATCTTCAGCTTGTTGTACTGTCTCCTGGCAGCTTCAGCCACTCTTGCCTCCAACTCAGACTGGTAACCAAAACCTGCACAAGAGATGGAAAACTGACTAGGTATAACTTTGTTCATCTGTTATTTAATCAGGAAAAAATGAAAGAAAGAGGAAATCAGAAAAGATCAGTTTTATATTTGAGCAGTAAAATACAGGACAGGAGAACACAACAGGTGAAAATTACTGTTGTGCCTGTTCCCCAGGCTGCTGCACAGAAAGAAGCATCTAAGCAGGAAACAAACAATCCCACTAGGAAAAAAAACATTTCCCAAGTCTTTTTCTGGTCTTTATTTGACACAGCTTCAACCTGAGTTACTACATTCGAGGGAGACAAAAGGTGATGGCAACAGAGGAAGTTCTGACTACACATGAAGATGTGGAATGTGTAGGCAGTGGCCTTTGGTTGGTTGGTTTTAAACTTTGATATCTATGGAATATTCTCATCTTGTGAGAAAAGTTAAGTGTCATCCTCACCTTTAGGCTAAGTAACTTCAATCTTTTGGTATTTGCCAAAATCAACAGGAGGAGAATTAGTATTTCAAGCACATTTTAATGGTCCTTATTTCACTTCCATCTCCTCAGGAACTGAACTTTCACAACTAAAACTGCAAAGTTGGTCACTGTACAGTGTTATAGGCCCAGACTCCTAAATCTTGTTGTCCTTAGAAATTTAGGGAACCAGTATGGTGAACATCTGCAAATCAAGGTATCTCAAGAAGCTGTAACAAAGGGCAGAATGAATCTCATCAACAGAAGAGATACAGCAGGA